CCACTTTATGCCCTCGCTCTTCCTGCTTTGGTCCTGGGAAGAGGCCTATCTGTCTCTGAAGTGGCCACCTCATTTTTTAAATGACTTTTATTTCATTCATTTCAGTTTCGGGGTTCTGAAGGTGCCTCATGGTTACCCCTTTATTCTCTCCTCATATAAATTAAAAGATAAGGGAAAGGGCAAGACATGGTACTCATACAATCACAAATCTCCTGGGAAAGATGCTATTATTGATGGTAGAAAGAACACTGATATACTATGCATATTCAAATCACGGGATTATAACATCTCTGTATTCAAAGTAACCATGCTTAGAGTCTTACCTTCTACCATTTAATTCAACCGGCTTTCCCGACTGTTGTGAGACTTAAATAAATGACATCTCAGATTGTCCACTAAAGACCACATAAGAAAATTGCCCACTAACCATTTATCATGTATGACAGAAACTGTTCGCTGGCTGCCCAATCGCTATTCTTTCCCTTTTTCTTTTTTTTTTTTTTTTTATGGTGACAGCTGAGAGAGAGAAAGAGCTAAAAATGCAAAGTTCATGTTTTCCCAGACTTCCTTGCTATTAGACGTGTCCATGTGATTTTATTAAGTTCCTGATCTGTACTGAAAGGCCTCTGGAGAAAGTACCCACCCCCAATAAAGAGAGACAGATAAAGATGAGGCTTGGGTATCTCTGACAACCCCTTGGCTTCTTGCTTCTTGAGTCTAAAGTTGAGGTCCCTCTATTTAAATCATGAGGCACAACCTGCAGAGAAGGGCCAGTATGCTGAGGAAAGAGGAGCAGAGACGCAGAAGAGACTGGGTGATGGCTGTCTGTCTGTTGAAATACTGATCTAGCCATCTTCTTAAGCCATCATTAGCCAGGTGTTCTATTATAGTCAAAAATATCTTAACTGATGCCTGATGCACTATCAAACTATCAAATGATAACATTGGGACATGAAGGGCTATATGGACAGTCAATGATTCAAGGGTTGAAAGTGGAAAATAAATATTTATAAAACTTGGAAAATATGTAAGTGAATATTTATTATCAGTATATTCTCTTGTGAATGCATCTTTTTATAAAATAGGAAAGATAATATTTACCTCAAGGAATTGTTCTAAGGATTAGATGAGTTAATATGTGAAAAGCAAAGTTAACAGTGGCAGGCACAAAACAAGTATGACCTAATTAAAGTTATCATGTCAATTAGTAAAAGAAATAGGACATTCTTTAGCAAAGACTATGTGTTGGACAGGATACTGGACTTGGAATTGGAAAACCTGGCTTCTAGACAAGTACATCTCCTCTTTGATCACATGTCAACTTTTGCGGCTGGTTGAGGACAATGAAATCTCAACACAATATAGTCTCTGTGTCAAAGAGTGTTGAAAGTTCTATGAGTCAGATGAATTCTGAATGATTGTATCCTGCCAGTTCAGTAATGAAATAAATGTATTGCTGGACATCTAAAAAAACTTTTTTTAAAATGCACTTGTAAATAAAATGGAACATTTCATTATGCAACTAAGCAAAAGCCTGGATGTTTTTAAGTCTTTGCATATGAAATTAGTTTTCCTTTCCTGAAACAATAGCTACACAGAAAAGTGGAGTAGAAAACATGGGAGGACATTGGACTGAGGTCTAGCGTAGCCCTCCCATTAACCTGCCCATGTGCATCGGGGCAAGTCCCTTCTGGTCTCTGAGACTCAGTTTCTTCATCTGTAAAGAGAAAAGCCTCAAGCTAGAAAAGGCAGTACCTTGACTCTTTTCCTGTATAGTATGAAAAAGGGCATTTTCTCTTTTTCATAACCAAACGTACCACTTGTGAAACCACAAGGAGTGTGCAATATGAATGCAACTCAAAATGCCACTGCAGTTCACCAAAGACACTGCAAGGCACACAGTAATGGAAGTGGTGCTGAAGAGGCCGGCCTGGGGCACAGCCCAGACAGCCAAGCTGAAACTGAGGGTCAGGATTTCAAGAGCAGCCTGACCTAATGTGAGTTCCACACCAGCCTGGGTAATTTAATGAGACCCTGTCTTAAAATAAAAAATAATAACAGTACTCGGAGGGTAGCTTAGCCATTGAGCTCTGGCTGAGAATGTGAGAACCTAGGTCCAACCCACAGTACCATAAATAAACAACAGGAACAGTGATGCTAAAGATCTACACGATCAAAGCAAAGTCACCAATAAATTATAAAATAGTGGCAGGAGACACACGGGTAGATGATTAGACATGTTAGGCAGACAGGGGAGCTGGATAGGCCAGCCACAGAAGACAAGAAAATCAAAAGGCATGAGGACATGGTAAGTGCTTGGAAGAAAATGTTTCTAACATAATGAAGCTCAAGGAAAACTTACTAAGACTTCTCTTACAGCTGTATAAATTAGCCTGATTTTGACCATACTGAAAAAGGTCCAAAATAAAGAATATATTTTGTGCTGGCAATATGTTGTCAGGAAAGCTACATCAAAGGAATCAACATTTGGCTCATTCTGGGTGCATTCTAAACACTGATCTCAATGCTGTTTAATACAAGACAAAAAAAATCAGTAAGGTTTTATTCATTTTTCAAAATAACTTCCCAACAAACTTTAGCCCTTTTTCTTATTGCTTACAATGAAACCATTGTCTTATTTTATTTCAGTTTCATTCATTTAAGGATCTTTCATATAACCAGACAAATAATAACCAGCCCCATCATTGACAGGTGACTAGAAGCCTACCAATCCAGGGGTAGGAAAGACAGGTCTATCAGCAAAGTAATTATCACTTTCAAAGACAGAAATATATAGAAGTATATTTGTTTTTTATATTTGTTTTTTTAAGTGGTTTTCAGCCTTTGGGAACAAGGGAAGCCTTTTTGGGAATCCAGTGAAAGATGTGGGATGCTGTCTTCCACAGAAACACAACTGTGTGCAAACACACCAAACGGTGCAACTTCAGGACATCCCAGGCCTGTTTATGACCTATAGATTAAGAGCTGTGTTTGGGGTTGGCCCAGGTTCTGCTGTGATGGCTTTTGTTGTAGATGTTCAAAAAGTATCACTGATTCATTTACAAAGCACTTCGTTCATACTTTTGCTATGCCAGAAACTGCTCTAGGTTGTGGCTGTAGCAATAATAGATTCTCTGTATCTATCCCTTGGTTGGTTACTTTATAGTTTCCTCTGTTCTGGTCCAAGCCTGGCCATTCCACTTATTGTAGCCAATGGGACAGGAGCAAACTTGACACAAGCAGAGGATGGTACATATTCCACTTCCTCTCTTGGATCTCCACCTTCATCTACTACGCACCTGCCAGTACCACCGGGAGCTCTGGGCTAACTTGCTGGAGGATGAGGAGCCACATGCAGTAACTGAGTCTTCCCGGCCAAAGCTATCCTAAGCTAGCTGGGTGCCAGTCAACCTTCATACTCACGTGACACATGATTTCTATAGAAATTGGCACAGGCAAAATCACCCAAATCTGGCCCAGACTGACAGATTCATCCAGCTGCCTTAGAGGCTCATGAAAAGTGACAAATAGCTATTGTTTAAGCATTAGGTGCTTGGGGAAGTTGTGATATAACCATGAATAACTAGTAAGTTACTAACATGGCTACAGCAGTGAGCACAGCAGATGATATCCTTGCTCTTGAAGAGTTTGCTTTCTAGAAAGAGACGCACAAGGAGCGAAGGAAGATGAAGGTGGGGAAAGTCAGGACCAACCATGAAAGGCCAGAGAGGCCTTACAGAAGGTCCTGAATACCTTTCCAGGGATGATGAGAGGTTTTGTGCAGCATCATAGTGTCAACAAATTTTTATTCTAGAAAGATCCTTTAATAGCTGTGTAGAGTAGCAAGAGTTGTGCTGTAGTTTCCATTGGAAAAGTGCTTTTGTGGCACCAGCAAGAAATTAGGGAAGTCCCGACTATGGAACAAGCAGCAAAGACAGAAGAAGAGATTGGAAAGCTATACAGGGGGCAAGGTTAAAGGAAGTTGGTGGCCATCTTTATTTGAAGAATGGAAAGGCAGAGTTGTATATGACCACAAATGACTTGTTCATCTATTTAATGACTATGTACTGAGTACTCACTTTATGTCAAGCACACTGTGCAGGTACTAGGAGAGCCCACTCTTCTGAAGTATAGTTGTCATGACTGGAATGTGAAACATCGCCCGCAGCCTCATATGCTTCAATATTTGCTCACCGGCTGGTGATGCTGTTTTGGTAGGTTGCAAAAAACTTGGGTCATAGGACCTAGCTGGCAGATGCAGGCTGCTAGGGTTAGACCTGAAGAGTTACAGCTCAGCCCTGCTTTCTGCTAGCACTCCCTGCTTGCTGGTCAATGTGAAGTGAGGATAAGCTCCTGCCTGCTCCCACTAACACCAACTAACCCACTCTAGCCACCATGACACATTTGCCATAAATGACTGAAATCCTACTATATGAAGTCCTTCTTCCCTTAAGTTGCTTTGGTCATAGTGAATCCCAGATATTCAAAGGACTCCATATAAGTATTTCACAGAGAGGTTGGCACAGTGATGTTTACTGCAACACCATTCATAACAGCTAAGTTACAGAACCAGACTAGGTGTCTGTCAACAGAGAAGTGAATGAAGAAAATGTGGTGTATACATACACAACGAAATGTTTTCAGCCATATTACAGAACAAAGTCACACTATTGGCAGAAAAATGGATCAACTAGGGATAAGCATATTAAGCAATCTAAGCCAGTCTCAGAAAAACAAATACCATGTTTTTTCCCATTTGTGGTGCCTAGATTTGATATAGATACATGAGATCATACATGTATATAGTGGAAGCAGAAGTGAGATTGTCAGTGAGGACAGGGAGGACTAACAGGAGGGCGAGCGGCTTAAGGGAAGGAATATGGTGAGGACTGTGTTCAATGTACAAGAAATATGCATATGAAAATGGCCTTATAGTAGACAATACCATGTACAGTGAGTATACTCAATTTTAAAATTAAATAAAAATAAGTTCCAGTGAAGTGCTTACTTCAGCAGCACATATACTAACTAAACTTGGAACGATTCAGAGAAGATTAGAATGACCCTGTGCAAGGACGACATGCAAATCCCTGAAGTGTTCCGTACTTCTAAACTCTCATGTTGAATAAAAAGCAAGCGCCTGGAACATCACAGACACTTTGACAGAATACTTAACCGTGTAAATACTAAAACAAAGCTTAATTGAACTAATTTAATATAATCAATTATTGTCATTCGGTAAAATTGGAAGCAAGCCTCTACAATTGTTTTAAGTCAGTAATGAAAACTAATTGCATGGCTATTGGGACGATTTATATAATTTCACAAAGTTTGTACCAAAACTAAAATATATGTGTTTTAGTTATTTCTGTATTCTGACAAAGCTAATCACATACTAGAATCAAACACTTTTATATTCCCTAAACTCTCCTAATTGTGGATGATCAAATGTATGCTATGGAAAATTCTTGTGTCATATGATTATATTGTAGAACTATTACTGGAGATATTTTTTCAGAGGCCTAATAAATTTTCAGGAAAATCTAATTAAACATAATTTATTAAATTTAAGAAAGATAAGAGCAGTGAAGATAATCACATAGGCATCTAGATAAACAGACAATAACAAAGTGGGAACCACACATCCACACAAGTAAAACACCTAGACACTAAAAGAATTTTAAATCAATTAATTAATTTTAAGAGATCCAAAGAAACAATAGAAAATGCACTTCAAAAACTGCAAAGTGCATTTGGAGAGTGACAAGAAGCATTCAAGCAGATGCCCTGCTGGCTCTTCAGTGGACAGAGGTGCCACTCCAGATGCCGCTCAGCAGGAACAGCAGATATGGAAGACGGTGAGCTCCCTGTGGGATGGCACGCTAGGATAAAGATGCATAGAGAACTTCATACGGACCTGCCCAGAAAGACTGGGAGTCTAAAGGTGGTCAGAGGGACTGGCCTGAGACAGAGGCTCGGCAATTATCAGTTTGGGAGACTCAGCAGAAACCAGGCTTGCAGACTCATTCCCCTGAAGAGACTATGGAAATAAAAAGAGAAACCCACAAACGGAAAGTCCTTCAAGGACTGAGAGAAATCCTGAAGCCTTCCCAGATGACTCAGACTGGAATGGTATTACCAGATCCCCAAGTGGTAACGGGAGGAAGCTGTGGATGAAAACGAGTCCAAGACTACACTTTGACAGCAACGAGATGTTTATGCCTATGCCCTCCTCGTGTCAGAAGGTTAATAGTGCTCACAAACTTGAGTGTCACATCTTGCAAATTCAATAATAAACAAAAACACTAACTTGATCTCTAAGGGAAAGGTTGAACTGGTCAAAATAACCTTTTCTCCTGATAAACAAAACCAAGTCTTGGGATTGTGCAACAGAGAAAATAGCGTGCCCAGCCAGTGTTAAATGATTTCACATGGGCCTGCTCTTGCCAGTACTCCCCTGTAGTCACTAATATATCAAACTGTATGCGGAAAAGAGCATACAAAATAAGTGAACTAGGATTCAGATGGTCCAGGCCTAACTGTTGCCCCCAATATCACTGGCAGGTATGGAAACCTGAGCCAAGTCATTCCTCTCTGTAATGTAGTTTTGTCACCTATGAAATTAGAAATAGGGGCTTTACAATCACTCATATTTCTTGATAGTGCTCAATTCAAAGATAGGCTAGCGATTAATTCTCAATGAGCTTGTTTCACATGCCAGACCTACAAGTATAACATCTTATCAAATACACAGAGAATCCCTATGAGGAAAGTATTGTTGCTGGATTAAATACAGGAAAACTGAAAGTTGAAAGTTCATTATTCTAATAGAATTGTTTCGAGCTTTGGTGTCACATAAACCTGGTTCTAGCATGCCCACTATCAACTCATTGTCTGAGTATTGTCACCCTTCATTGCCCTGCTTCGTGATGCTGGAGCTGGACCTATAAAGAGTTTCCTTTCCCCAGCATGCATGATTCTAAGCTCTGTCAACAAGGGTCCTAGAGGGATACTACAGAGGAAATGCCTCTTCTCCCTGGTTTCATGTGCTTGTTTTCTTCTTGCTGGTATGATGAGCAGTGACCAGCATGACAAGGTCACTTGGAAGGGCTCACACCTCAACAAGTTTCACTATCCTCCCAGACAGCAGCTATTCCAGGAAGTCTTAGTTACATCCTAGAGACAAATCCCCAGAAATTTTTCTTAGCATACAAGGGCCAGGTTCTGATGATGGCACCTCAGCAAACCTCTCCACCATCCATCAGCATATGCCCAAACCTCCAATTATGGATTGGAAAGTTGGTCTCCAATACAATGTTCAAAGGTGGGGCTTTGGAGAAGTGATTGGCTCATGAGAGCTCTGATCTAATCAACAGACTGACCCATTATTAGAGGTGGTAGAAATCAGGGGTGGAGGTGGATTGGGGAAGATGGTCATGGCCTTGTGACTTTGAAGGATATTTGGTCCCCTTCTCCACTCTGTGATCTCTGTTTCCTGGCTCGCATGAAGTGAGCAGCTGTCCTCCACCATACCCTTCTGCCATGATCTTCTGCCTCACCACAGGCCCTGAAGCAGAGCCAAGTAACTATGGGCTGAAAGCTCTGACACCATGAACTAAAGACTTTTTCTTCTTCAAGCTATTTCTGTCAGGTAGTATCACAGGAGATTAAAAAAAACTCTACCATATCTAATGAGATCTGAATCTCAGGCAGGGCTGAGGTAGCATGGTCACCTTAGATCTGTTCCTTCCTTGAATACCCCCAGTCCAGAAGCTGGATGCCCAGATCCTCTATTCCTACATTTACTCATCTTTCTTATTTCCTTTATTTATTGCATGTATGAATGTGTGTGTGAGTGTGTGTTATGTGTGGGTGTACATGCCTGTGCATGTATGCAGAGGCCAGAGGAGGATGGCAAGTGTCCTGCTCTATCACTGCTTAGTCTGAGCCAGGGACTGTTATAATGCTGGGTGTATGTGCATTCACTTAAATCTTACAAAAATGCCAGGGAAATACTAAATCACTATTTCTATACCTGGAAAAACTAAGGATTTAGACAACCTAAAGTAATTCTCCCAAAGTCACCAACAGGCAAGGAAAGTAGTGGTATGAAACCACGTGACTCCTAAGCCCATGGGTAACAGGGTCACCTATCTTCCCTCAGGTCACTTCCCCTGTCTCTTGCTTTTGGATTCAGCAGAACCAGGTTCAAGTCCTAACCCCACCACTGGCTGTCTGTATAACTCCAGGCAAGCTCTTTAATCTCTCTAGCCTTGTGCAGTGAAGAGAGCACATCTGTTTGGCAGAGCTGCTGTAAAGATGACAAAGGGTTTATCTAAAGCACTTAGCACATTACGTGGCCCTTGAGATGTCATTAATAAATGTCTCCTCTTTGTCTTCCTATAAAATTATGGTGGTACCTTCAAAGGTCAAAATGAGTCCACAGGTAACAGCACAGCCAGGACACAAGGTTTTGCAAAGGCTAGCCAGGAGTGAACCGTCTTCTAATGTACTAGGGGATTTTTCTTGTTTTTTCTTTTATTTGAGGGAGTACAACAAAAGGAATAAAATATAATGTTCTCCTTCCTTCCCTGAGGCTCAGCCACATGGAATTCATTTCCCAGAGAAGTGGTGCAGGCTGAATCTGCCAGGAGCAGGTTCAAGCAAAGTATCTTAAGACAGCCTGATGGATGACAGAGTCAGAGACCATCACCAAGCACTAATACTAGCACCTCCTGCTTGTCCCATACCTTAAAGTTGTCAAAAGCATGCCCACATCATCTTATTTGGTCCTCAAGCCACCATCATGGGTCAGTGTTGTGGTCAAGGGTGTCAGGTGAGGTAATGTCCATCTGACAGATGGAAAAAAATGGAAGCCCAGAAATGGAACATGCTGGACCCAGTGTGAGGCTGGGGCTCAGAGAGACTCAGGACAGCCAACAATGGCCTCAAGATCTTCTCTTTTCTTCTCTTCAAGAGCCTCCTGAACAGAGAAGGAGGCCTCCCATTAACAATGGCAAAGCTGGGGCTGTGGAGATGGCTCAGTAGTTAAAGCACTTGCCATACAAGGGAAAAAATGGAATTTGTCTGAGCATGGTGTGCACACCTATAATCCAGCACTCAGGAATCAGAGAAAGGCAGATCTCTGTGAGTTCAAGTCCAGGCTGGCCTATCTAGCAAGTTCCAGGCCAGCCAGGGCTACATAGTAAGACCCTGTAAAAGAGAGAGAGGGGGAAAGGAGAGAGAGAGAGAGAGAGAGAGAGAGAGAGAGAGAGAGAGAGAGAACTAGAGCTTGGATCCACAGAACCCATGTAAATGCCAGGTGGGTATGGTGGCCCTGGAAGGTAGAGACAGAAATTCCTGGAGCAAGCTGGTTAGCATGAGACTAATTGTATTGGTGAGCTCTGGGTTTGACTGAGGGACCCTGCCTCAAAGAATAAGGTGAAAGAATGATGGAGGAAGATTCCAAACATCAACCTCCGACCTACACACGACTACACACAAACACATGTGCACACATACACACATGTACCTATATGCATGTAATCAAACATACACATATATACACACATGAAAAAAAGAAAAAGAAAAAAGTGTGATGGAGCTAATCAATGCTCATTGGTTAGCAAGGACACAAGGGTGAGAAGAGGAAGACATAAGGAGCCATACAAATGCAGGACGAGCATCCCCATCATACTGCACCTCAGTCACCTCACCCCAGTCTCGCCTCTATTTTCCAGACTCGGTTCTCAACATCCAATATATACTAAATTTCCTAAGCCTCACTGTAAACCATAAGTTAGGTATCACATCATCACCTTTTACAGGCATGGGCAACAGAGGCATTCTTTTGTAGATATAGAAAAGAAAAAGACAGGAAGGAGATGACTCAGATCTTATAGGAAGAGTCCACACTCATGTGTTCAACTACAGGCTCCCCTTCCCCCTACCTCTGATCCTGGCCATGGTCTCTAGGGCCCATCAAGAAGGGACATGGTATTTGGTGTGTCCCTGAAATCCCATTGGTTCTTGTTATCTGCAGTAGTTAGGTTCTATAAAGTCACTACCAACACTGAATTTGTGAACACTGAACCATTGCCCCCAGGAGAG